GAGGTAGAGTAGCTGAGCTTTACGTAACTGGGAAGTGGTAATCCATCCCCCACAAAATAAATAAGAAGCAAAGCTGTGATTGGGTAGAATAAGGGAAAATAGCCTTTAATAATATAGGCGTTCCCTTATGTCGTATTAGATAAATATATAATGAAAATAATCCGGGTCAATAGCACAGGTTTGCTATTGTTTTTCTTTTAAAGGACAGGGTACATTGTGTAAGTGGAGAAGCGCAAATGTCAAGAGGCGTTTTGCTGTTGTTTGACAATGAAGTCAGTACTGCAACAGGTCTTTCAGGAGTAACAAAGACCTAATTTGGTCAGTAATATGCACTGACGGGTCTTCAGTTTAAATGTCATATGTAACCTTTGGTTTGTAATGTCTCCATGAAATACTTAGCCAAGTCATTTTCTCATTTTTTACTTTGGTGGAGGATGATGGTTTGTTTGTAATATTACAGCTGTAACATTATAATTACAATGACAAAGCTTTAAAAATTTTTATTTATATTGGAAATGCAGATTTACAGAGAAGAGACAGAAAGATCTTCCATCAGCTGGCTCACTTCCCAAATGGCTGCAATGGCCAGAGCTGAGCTGATCCGAAGCCAGGAGCCTCCTCTGAGTCTCCCACACAGGTTCAGGGTCTCAAGTGGGCCATTCTCCACTGCTTGCCCAGGCCATTAGCAGGGAGATGGATGGGAAGTAGAGCAGTTGGGACATGAACCGGCTCTCCTACGTGTTGTCAGCACTTACAGGTAGAGGATTAGTCTGTCAAGAAATGGCATCAGTCCCTGGCCTTTTTAAATCTTAACTGGTGAAGTGGGAAGTTTTGGGATTCAAAAAAGTGAACAAACTTTCACTTTTATCAGACCACAAATACATTTTCCTAAAATGTTCTAGATAATCTAATAGTATCTTTGAATTGTTATTTTATTTTGGTTCAAGTGATAAACTTTTTTTCAATAATCTTTTTTTTTTTTTTTAAGATTTATTTTTATTATTTTTTCATTGGAAAGGCAGATATACAGAGAGGAGAGACAGAGAGGAAGATCTTCCGTCCGATGATTCACTCCCCAAGTGAGCGCAACGGGCCGATACTATGCCGATCTGAAGCCAGGAGCCTCTTCCGGGTCTCCCACGCGGGTGCAGGGTCCCAAAGCTTTGGGCTGTCCTCGACTGCTTTCCCAGGCCACAGGCAGGGAGCTGGAAGGGAAGCGGGGCTGCCGGGATTAGAACCGGCGCCCATATGGGATCCCGGGCGGCAAGGTGAGGACCTTTAACCACTTGCGCCACCGCGCCGGGCCCTCAATAATCTTAATGATTAATTTTCATTAACTTAGTTTCAAAATCTACTTCTTTATGATTGACAATATTAGCTTTAATAAATAGGCCTTTTCTTTCTTAAGAAGTATTGAAACCTGTTAAAAATTGTAAAAATGAAATGTCTTAAAAACCTGTTTACTCTTCACATATCTAACTTAATATATTTTACAATCTTAATTACACGTTTTGGTAAGATTTATAAATTACTTTTACAGTCTACCATTAGTATTGTCGAATCCATTGACATGAAATATTTTCCATCATTCATGATAGTAACTCATCCTCAAATATACTTTTTCTTTCTTTTTAAAGATTTATTTTTATTATTTCTTATTGGAAAGGTGGATATAGAGAGAGGAGAGACAGAGAGGAAGATCTTCCGACCGATGATTCACTCCCCAAGTGAGCGCAACGGCCCCATACTATGCCAGTCCGAAGCCAGGAGCCTCTTCCGGGTCTCCCACGCGGGTGCAGGTTCCCAAAGCTTTGGGCCGTCCTCGACTGCTTTCCCGGGCCACAGGCAGGGAGCTGGAAGGGAAGCGGGGCTGCTGGGATTAGAACCGGCGCCCATATAGGATCCCGGGAGTGCAAGGCGAGGACCTTAACCACTGCGCCACCGCGCTGGGCCCTTCAAATATACTTTTTCATGTACAGTGATAAAAATAATTCAAACATAACAAGTCGATCATTCTCCCAAAGCAAAGTATGTTATAAAGAATGTGCATAGCAAGGTAAAATGTTTTCCAGGCGTCTATGACAGGATGCTCATCAATCAATGATCATGAAACAGTCTAAACAATTATCTTGAACGAGTAATACTGCTTATATGACTAATATTATTGCTTGTGGCACTTTTAAAAACGCTCATTTTTATTTGAAAGGCAGTGAAAGTGGGACAGATCATCTATCTGCCAGTTCATTCCCCTCAGCACCTGCAATACCCAGGGCTGGGCCGGATCATAGCCAGGACATAGGAGAGGACCAGGTTTCTCATGCAGTGGCACAGACATGAGCACTTGGGACATTGTTGGCTGCCTTTCCAGGATCATCAGTGGGAAGTTAGACCAGAAGTAGAGCCAGAACTCTTACCTGTGCTCTGACAGGGAGATGGCACCCTGAGCCATGGCTTAACTCATTGTGCCACAAAGTCTACCCCTTAACGCACATTTTAAAATCATTTAGAGGCAAAGTGAGAGTGAGCTTCCTTCCGCTGGTTCACTACAAAAATACTCAAACAGGACATGAACATTAAGGAGAGGAACCAATGTAATCCTGATCTCCCATCGATGCCACCCAGGGTCTGATAGGAAGCTGCAGTCAGGAGCTGAGGCAGGCCTCAAACCCAGCTACTCCAAAATGAGATGTGGACTATTAACCTGCTAGACCAAACAGCTAATTTTTAGTTAACCAATTCAAAATATGATAACACTATGCTATTATACTGTAAGGTTCGGTTTCTTCAATAACATAAATATTACAAGATTGAAACAGAGCAAGTCTGTAGGTAAGTTAGCTTGGATGGAGTGGTAGGGGCTTGAGGAGCCAAATGCCAATTGGATTAAATCTGAATTCAATTTATTGTTGGTTTTTTTCATGAGTTTTTTTTCTGTTTTTCAAACCCCAAATACCAGCCATTATAGCATCATTGTGACAAGGACAGATTGCAGTGGAGTGATGTTACAGGAAGAAACCTTATTGAAATGAAAATGTTTTCTAAACTTTTAAAAAGCATTTAGATGTACATAAGAATGGATGTTACAGAACAGCCCAGCACTATGACTTGCTCAGTTAAATGCTTGAAGCAAACATCAGATACCTAGTACCTGACAAATACCTATATTTAAATGCCTGGGAAACAATACAGATACCTAGTACTTGGTAAATGTACACTTCCTTCCCTTCACTACATTTATTTGAAAGAGGCAATGGATAGATCTTGAGGATAAAGATGAAATGAGACAAGGTCCTCAGGAGATGGGGACAGAATCAAGAACATTAGCATTCCTTCCGCCTTGGGCAGAGGACACATTTCTCTCCATACACTTGTGGAAAAGTAGCGGCACCAGAAGTGAAGACGATAAATTTGAAATCTGCACTAGATGCAAAATACAAGTTATTGGGGCTCCTGAAGTATAACCTTGCAATAGCTACAACAGCAATTCAGAAAATGTTTTCCAGGCATATTTGGCAACATGAGAAGACCAAAGAATGCAGTGGCTGCATTCATCCAGAACCGGGAACTGCTAAGAGGGCCCCAGAAAGCAGGAAACTGATCTGTGACGATACAGGACACAGATTAGGCAGAGAAGGAAGTAAAACAGAAAAGCAGACTGGAGGTGTGGAGGGATTCTACATCTTGCTTACGTCAGTGATTTATGGCAACATAACTGACCTGCCCTTAGTCTTTTTATTTGGGAACATAAAATCGGTTTGCATTTCAAAACTTCACAGTGTAGAACATACTTTTATTTATTTATTTATTTAATTGGAAAGTCAGATTTGCAGAGGAGAAAGAGAAAGAATCTTCCATCTGCTGGTTCATTCCTCAAGTGATTGCAATAACCGGAGCTGAGCTGATCCAGAGCTAGGAGCCAGGAGCTTCTGGGTCTTCCAAGCGGTGCAGGGTCTCAAGGCTTTGGGCTGTCCTCGCCTGCTTTCCCAGCCCACAAGCAGGGAGCTGTAAGGAAAGTAGAGCAGCCTGGATACGAACCAGTGTCCATCTGGGATCCTGATGCATGCAAGGTGAGGACTTCAGCTACTAGGCTACTGTGCTGGGCCCGTACATTTTTTTAAAACAGTTCAAAATCACACTGCCTTCTAAAGGGCAAAATCCAATTTTATGTGGGTCGTCACAAGATCTTCCTTTATGTAGGCAAAAAAAAAAAAAAAAAAGCCCAAAACTGATCTGCCATCTGCTTAGCATTAAGCACATGAACTTTCATTCACTTTACCAGATTTAAACTATTCATTACTCTCATTTTCCTATGTATTAACAGCTGTAACCACATCAAATGAAAGCAGAATTTCGATTATTTTTTATTTATCATTTGTTAGGATGACAAAAAAAAATCATGAGCACCAGGCGAAAATTAATGTGATCAGACAAGAAATAAATCTACTTAATTATTCTTTATACTTAATCACATACAATTTCTTTTCAGATTTAAAAATGTTTTAGTAGCATCACTTAATAAACATGAAGCACAAATTATTACAATGCGGCACGAATGCCCATGTTTTCAAACGTTTCCTTATTACTGTGGAAACAGATGACTACAGTTATTCCAAAAATTAGTAAAGAGAACATTTGGCTTTTCAAAAGATTTAGGCTAAATGCTTCTTCCATATCAATTTCTCATACAAGTGTATTACTTAATCCTAGATCACATCCGCAGAATCAACAGAGCAGAATACAACATTTCTAAGGAAAACAAACTTTCACTTTGGGATGTCAGGATACCTGATACTAGAATTTGGTTCCCTTTTTCCCTTCCTCTTAATGCCCCAGACTGCTACGAGTGGCTTGTATTTGGAAATTACACAGATGGGACAGCAGGATTAAGGCACTAAGAAGCGAGTGAATGCTGGATGGGGTAGCTATTTTTCAGGTGGACAACACTTCCACTTCACTTAATCAAGGAAATTAGATGCCCATTTCCTTTCAATTCAAAGTCGGCAGCAATGTGTGGGAAGTCAAGGGGTACCTGTCCCAGCCTTCTACTGGAGGAAAGCAAACTAACCCTTCAAAGATGCTCACTCCCAGCGATGGGGTTTTTCAAAGGCTTTTGTCTAAAAGTCTTTTTGCACACACTATTTCCTTCCCAACAGAAAGAGAACGATGCTCCCAATTACTAATCAATCAGTTTGGAACAACACAAATTATATTATAAGGTGTGGGGGAGGGGAGAATGAGTAAATTACACAAACTGAAGACACCTTGATTTACTAGCAGACTTCGGAGGTGAGGAGAGGAAGATAAAAAGAAGGAAGAGAAAGAATCAGTGTACTTACTGTTTAATCACTATCAGCGTTTTCATAGAAGACAGCTTCTAGGAAGGATACTGAAATATTCTTAGCAGCAGCATTTAGGTGAAAAAAGGGGGGTTTATGGTCTGAGTTGTACCTTAATAAACCAGTTTCAAGTAGTCACAGGCTTGGAGCCGGAGCAGAGGAACTGGGAATTGTCAATACAGTACAGCTAAGAATCACCCGTATCAAAATTCCTAGAAACTGAAGTCTTATTATTATTATTATTTTGATAGAGTAAGCAGACATTTATGGTAGCAGAGCAGAAATGGTCACAACGTCCTGTCACGGCAACTCACATGAGACCTATACAAACATGGCTCTGGATTCTTTCAATTTTGTATTGCGATTATATGTACAAGTGGGGTTGAAATTGAACATTTCCCTCATCTTGCTTTGGGAAATTAACAGCTTGGTCTGAATTTGTAAAAGGGTGATAAGGCTGAAAGAAAAAATTTAAAAACTAACTAAAATCAGCTATCAGATCCCATCAATAATGGTTTATTTTCTTCTTTGTACATTTTGCTTAGGTGCTGTATTAGACCTACGAGCGCAGGGTTCCCACCACAGGCATCGATCTGTTTGTAAGCTTCAGATTCAAGCTCTTTAAGCGTATTCCGCGTGTATTCAAACGAACCTACATCCTCAAGATAATGCACACAGTATTTTTTAATATCTATGTTTTCTGTTCTCTGGCGCAGGATATTCTGCACCTGAGTGCTCTCAGGCCTTGACCAAATAGCATGAATAGTCGGGAATGAGAACTTTCCTTCTGTTAGATCTTCACAAAAACTTTTGTTTTCACTATATTCTTTGGAGTGTAGATTAGCATAATCATCTCTAATCTGGAAAAAGAGCCCAAGTGTATTCAGCAGTGGCTTTAAATCTTCTTTGTAATCAGAGAACAACTGCATGAGACCCACGGCCAATCCAAACAGGCCACCTGTCTTCTGCAGTACCATGGCTTTATATTCTTCTTCTGTGGGACATCTGTAACTATCCCTCCAGTAAATATCTAGGCCTTGTCCCTGATGCAGTTCCAAGAGCTGGCGGGTAAAAAGTGTCACTGCATCAGGGTGATCAAGGGTTAAGACTTTCTCTAAGCCGAGGAAATACACATAATTGGCAGAATTGATGACAGATGGAATTCCATAGATGCTGTGTGCCACTGGGAAGCCACGTCGGAGTTTTGAGTTGTCTTCGATATCATCGATGAGCAAACTGGCATTATGTAACATTTCTGTCACTTCGATGATAATCTAATAAAAAATAATGGAAAATTCCTCTTTATTTGAACTACTCAGAACAGTTTACACCTATGTTAGTAGATAATAAAAGTCTTTTAAGTTTTTAAAGCTAATAATTATTTAGCAACTCTAACATGAAATAATACATCGCATGAGCACTAAGTTAAGTCAAGTGCTTAAGAGTATTATTAAGGGTAACAATGAGATTAAAATTGCCTAAATACCTTTAGTTTGTCTTCTGGAACTTTCAGCCAATGATTAAATGCCTGTGACAGTTTGGTTCTCACTTGTTTACCTGAAATTAAAAAATAAAATTTGATGGTGGGTTTTTTAATCATAAGAAACACGTGCAGTAACTTCCTTGAAAAATGGTCAGACTTGACTTATTCAGCCTCAGGAATCCATTAGCTATTGCAAAGCTTACCTTCCACCGAGAACATCCACTCCCTACCAAACACACGCACAACACACTTTAGTCACCTCCTGGCTTGCAACGGCCAGCAGAGCCAGTAATGTGAAAACGTGGACACCGGGATGGGGATGAAGCACCGACAGGAGACCAGTGATGGTGAAAGTCTCTCTCAAGCCTCTCTTTATTACTTCTTATATACTCTTCCCCCCCCCCCCCCCAGGCCCTTTAACAGAACAACAGGATGCCAATGAGTCTGATTAGACCAGGTGCTTTTAGCCGCAAGCCCATTTCCTGTAGTACTCAGCTTAACAAGTGCTAATCAACTGCTTAGCCCATAACACTGGCTCACTCCTTTCTTGCAATTTTTTTTGGTAAGGATTTACTTACTTGGAAGACAGAGTTACAAAGAGCAGAAGACAGACATATATAGACACACAGAAATCTTCCATCTGCTGAATCACTGTCCAGATGGCTGCAATGTCCAGGCCTGGGCCAGACTAAAACCAGAAGATCTGGGTCTCCTACATGGGTGCAGGGCCCTTCTTCCACTGCACTCCTGGGCACTGGATCACAACAGAAGTGGAGCAGCTGGGACTTGGACAGGGACCCATATGGGATGCTGGTATCTTAAGTGGCAGCATTATGCACTACACCACAACATTGGTCCCCAAATCTTTTCATCTTATATCAACGATTATGGAATGAAACGGGCTTTTTAGGAACTAATTTATTTCATTCTTTTTGAAAAGGAAGGCAGGAGCCAGTGCTCTGGCTCAACAAGTTAATCCTCCACCTGTGAGATCCAGCATCACATATGGGTGCGTTTGTGGCCTGGCTGCTCTACTTCCAATCTAGCTGCTTATGACCTGGGAAAGCAGGGGAGGATGACCCAAAGGCTTGGGCACCTGAACCACTATGGGAGACCCAGAAGCTCCTGGCTTCTGATCAGCTCTGCTTAGGCTGATACAGCCACTGGGAAGTGCATCAGCCATTGGGAGATCTTTCTGTCCCTTCTCCCTGTATAGACCCTTTCATATAAATAAATATTAAAAAAAAAAAAGCAGTTTGGTTATTTAAAAACTTTTGTATTTTCTTTTTAATATTGACTACACGGTTGAGAGGGATGCATGTGCTTATGTGGGCCTCTGATTAGGGTGCGGAGGGTCAGGTATGCAGGAAGGTGGGTAGGACAAAAGTTTTGTTTTTCCTCCTGTGTCTGCAAGAGAGGAAGAGGGGGCTGCTCCTTGTTGTCAAACTACATTAGTACCTGGGGGTTGGGGACAGTCACCTGATGATGCCCTAAGATGTTGATATTGGGGAAGAATGTTCTGAGCGTGTTACTTGAGTGGTTTTGATAGTACTAAAAATTGCATTGTTGCTCCAGCAAGGAGAAAATCTTTCCAAGGTCTATTGGCTGCCCAGGTCCACTCCCCAGGCCCAAGAACATGTTGCAAAGCTTGGCCAAGGAGAGTGGTCCAACCTGTTCTGCTTTCTATCCTTAGAGCAATGTCCTTTGCTGGTCTAGATGAGCTAGCTGTCATTCCCTGTATGCATATGGGCATGCTGTCCACTGCACAGGCATCAGCATCTGAAGAGGCTCAGTCCTGATACATGCACTCCAAGGTTAGACCATCTATCTTGTGATTTCCCTGTGGCTAGGGTCTGAGTCCAGCAGTCTATTTGGGGAATCTCCCAGGAAACCTTGCCTGGGGTGACATCAGACTTCTCCCAATCAGTGCAGGGTCAGGTTTCGTCTGCTATCTGCACCAGCCAATGTACTGGTCGGTTTCGTCCCAGCCCTGTATCTCACATAAACCCGTAAGTGCTGTGGCCCAGCCCAGCCAGATTGCCACAGACCCGGTCCTTACACACAACAGTGGATGCCAAGGTTAGTCAGGCATCTGCCCTGAGTCCTGGTTTTTGTACATGCTGGCCTCTGCTGTGGCCTAGCCTGGTCCAGCTGGAATCTAATCCAGCTCTCGTCCACACCCATGAGCACTGTCTTAGTCCAGTCACCCCACCCAGATCCAGTCCTCTTGTATGCTAACAGGTGCTGTTGCCTTGTCCAGCCTGGTCCACCCCCAGTCCCAGTTCTCCCTCTTGGAAAGAGGGAAAGAGGTCCAGCATGGGAGTCCTGGAGGTTCCCCTCCTAGGCCTGTTCCCAGCTTTAGATCTTAAGCATGCTTAGTCCAGGCTGCCGCTAGGTAGCTCTAGCTAGTGAGTGCAGCAGCTTAGCCCACTCCCAACTCCATCTCTCATATGAACTGGTTGGTAGGTGTTGCTGTCCAACCTGGCCTGGTCTGCACTCCATCTTGGTTCTCACTCACATCAATGTGTGCAGTGGACTCACCATGCCCGGCCCATCCCTAGACCCAGCTCGTTTGTATGCCATTGGGTTCTGCAGCCCAGAGTGGTCTGGATTGCCCCAAGCCCTGGCTCTTGCACTCACCAGTAGTAGCTGTGGCTTACTAGGGGAGTTCCCCCAGCTCTTGCACTTACCAGTGGGAGCTGTAGCCCAGGAGAGTCCAGAGTTTCCCTACCAGGCCTGTTCCCAGCCTTGGGTCTTGTGCATGCTGGTGGGTGCTTCAGCCCAGCCTGGCATGGCTTATCTATAGTTTCGGCTCTCACTGGGGGTGCTGCAGCCTAGCCCAGAGAGGCTTTGCCCACATCCTGTACTGGCTATCATGGGTGTCAAGGCTTGGCCCAGTCTGACCTACACCGATGCTGTCCAATGCTGCAGCCTGGCCTGTCCTGCCCCCAGCCCTGGTTCTTTCACTCTCCAGTGGGAGCTGAGGCCTAGCAGAGGATTTCCCCAAAGTTCCTCTAGTAGACCCACTCCCAGCCCTGGGTGTTATACATGCCAGCGGGTGCCACAGCCCTGCCTGGCATTGTCTGCCCTTAATCCAGCCTTTGCATGTGCACATGGGTGCTGTAGCCTGACCCCATCAAGCCATCTCCTAGCCCTAGCTCCTGTTAGTATTAGGTAGGTTCCTGTCAAATGAGTTCTGTGGTCCAGCCTGGTTTGGCCCATTACCACCCCCAGCTTCTATACACATCGTTGGGTGCTGCAGTACAAGAGGTAAACCCACAAGTCCCCTACAGAATACATCCCCAGATCAAGTTGTCTCACGTTTTGGTGGGTTCTGCGGTCCAGTCTGACGTGGCCCACCTTCTGCTGACACTTGTGGGTGGGTGTAGTGGCCTAGCCTAGTGAGGCATTCCCCCTAACAGCCTCAGCCTTTGTGTGCAACAACAGACAGCGGGTGATGTATTATTTAGCCCAGCTCAGGTCTCCCATGTGGGCAGGAGCCTTAGCCTGACCCAGACAGACAAACCCTGTTTTCCCACCTCTAAACCACTCCATCTCAGCTCTCTTGCCTATCTGTGGGTGCAGTGGCCTGGTCCATGGAAGACCCCAGAAGTCATTCCTGTCCTGTCAAACATGCCTTCAGCTATTTCCACTCCAATATGTTCCCAGACCCCCATTCCCTGAGCAATCTGCAGCAATCTTCACCCTGGCACATCTAAGCCTAGTGTACCTACTTTCCCCACAGATCTTAAAAAAGAAAAAAAAAAAAGGCAATTATGCAATTATGCTGACATACTGGCATAGTTACAACAAATTTGGCATTCACCAGGCCCAGAATGCCCTCCAGCTATTAGCTGCTTTTCTCCCAGCAGTATAACACTTACCTAGGTACATGGCAACCTAGGCAGCTGCCCACAACTGGGGGTTAATGTTAACTGGCACTGTTAATCTTATAGAATTTAATGAAACATACTTTGCTCTGAATTACTTAATAAAATTACCTTTATAAAAATATCTACCTTTAAGTTAGAGATTTAGAGGTGGGGAGCTCTGTTATGTTCCATCAAATGACATCACCACACACCTGGAAAATAATTCTCTTAAAATTATTTTTATTTTAAAGACAAAATGAAACACACACACACACACACACACACACACAGCATAAAAAAAGAGAGAGAGAGAGAGACCTTTGGCCACAGGCTCACTTATCAAATACCTGCAAAAGTCAGAGCTGGGCCAGGGCAAAACAGAAGCCTGGGACTCAATCTCTGTCTTATCATGTGGGTAGCAGGAACCTGTTGCTTCCTGGGATACACAATTAGCATGAAGCTGGACTGGAAGTCGGAGGAGCTGGGACTTAGATCAGGTGCTCAATTTAAAATGTGGGCATCGTAAGTTGTAATATCCAATTATGAAGTATTCCCTTTTAATATTTCAAATTCAGTCAAAAGTTAATCTCTTTGTTTTGACTAAGGTACATTTTCAATATCCACTTTTGCTTATGTGCAAAGCTCAAGAAGTCTTTGGGTGGGGAGTTACCACTGGAATTCATTTCAGCCCAAGTATAAAAGAATGACAGGTAAGTAAAACAATAATAGTTCATTTAGCAAAAACCATCTTGGAGCTTCCTGCTAAATGAATCTACAACAATATCCCAATTTCAGGAAAATGGTTATATAAAAAGCTATGTTTCAGTAAACACAAGTATAATGTTCTAAGTACTGTATTCTCTGTATTAGTCATCTAAACAAATGAATATACATACTCCTATCATAAAGGCACTGGGACAAGATTTTTTTTTTCTGCAGAAAGTCTGAAAAAGAGTGTCTCTGACAGGTCTAGAAGTAGGATTTTCTGCCTACTAATTTTTTAAGTTATGTGGTCAGGGTAGCAATTACATAGTTTACACATCTACTCTCCTTTCCAGCTTATGGTCAGTATGGGCTACACCTAACATCTACAATTCTTGGAAAGCATGCATACCAATAAGAAAGGTTCTGAAGATGAAGAACACAGAGAATTGATATGCACTCACCTTTTTCTATTGAATATTATATATAAAACAGCATGATAAATTGCTAAATTTCCCAGTATTGTGGCACTCTGAAATGGGGTGGCAGCTTTGCAAGTGGCACTTAGCTGCTGTGCCACAAAACCAGCTCCTAAACCTGGGCACTCTGATGTGGGTGTCTAAGCAGTGTCTTCAATGTAAGCTGTGGGGTACTTGAATGGAGTTTTTGGCTTGGCCCAGCCATGGCTGTAGCTGGTATTTATGGAGTAAACCAGCAGATGGAAGATAGCTCTTTTTGTGTCATTCCACACTTAAAATGTATAAATAGGCGCTGGTTAAAAATCGCCCTGGCTTTGGCCATACATGGGTGAGATTCAGGAGCCACCAGGAGCCTCAGCTCATCTCCCACTGCCTGTGTGGAAAGGTGAGACCCAGGCCCCGACAGGCGCAAAACAGGAAACGACAAGCAGGTGTAAAAAGAAAACCAAGGAGTCTTCCAGCCCCCCGGGACAAGTAGTGTCCCACGCCTGGATCGCACGTGGCCGCAAACATGCACGCGTCTGGAGCCGGTATTGGGCTTGCCGGAGTGCCGTGGACTACCCTCGGAGCCCTGTGAAGCAGGTCCGACTGCTTCATTGCTCGCCTGCGGGCTTGAGCTGGGGGCAGGACTGGGAAGGGGTGGAGCTTGAACCTGGGCAAGTAGTCTTCCAGCCTCCGCATGGGGGCTGGAAGGCCCTGGGACAAGTAGCTCCCATGCCTGGATCGCATGGGGCCGCTACCATGCACACGTCCGGAGCCGGTATCTGGCGGCCAGTGAGCCATTTGGTGGTAGGCTCCGTCTGCTGGCTGCTCGGCCAGGGAGCTCTGGGATTTGTTTTCTATGATTGCTGCTTAGAAAGCTCCATGATGAACCCTCAGGGCTTTGTGTACATGAATCAACCCTAAAGATTCCCTTCCCAATGATGTAAATCTCCCCCCATGGACCTCTACCTACTATGGTCTCAACCCATGTGTTTTTAAAATTGTATAACCAAATATATTTTCAAAACCTTTTACTACTCAGAAATTGGGTGGGAGAGCAAAGAAACCTTCCATCTCCTGTGAACGTGTGAGGAAGCCGTGTAGTGTAATCTCTCAGGCACATAACAGGTAACTTGTAGACAATAGATTCAAGACAACATTAGACAACAGTAAAACTACAAAGACATATAGGGGGAATCAAGAGCGACCTTGACAACCTTTTAACAGGAGGTCATGTGCATAGAGCAGTAGGGGACCACAGAGTGGAGCAGGTGGACAGGAGGAGGCTTTGTATCCCAAACCTGGAGTCTCCTGGATCCCCACCAAGGGCTGTCAGTATGGCGCCAAGGACCACATCCCAACTGCCAAAGAGACCACGGGGAACTGGAATGCCTTCGGAGGCCGAGAACTCAGAGGACATCCCCCCCGTCCCCCCCCCTTTGGACCTACCACACGGGATGGAAGAAGCTGAATCCTTCATCATAGGATCCAAGGCCATCGGAATAATAACCAGGAAACCTGAGCGGTCTTCAGAAACAGAAGAACAGTAAACTCCCTTCAGGACTAGGGAGAGGAGCTATCTCTGGTTCTTACCTAACTCCAACGTCGGGTCCCCACCCTCTCTGCAATGACCATGTGGGACGCTCCAGAGCCCCCCCCCCAACACACACACACACACACACTCACTCACAAATTGGAATGGATAGGCAGAGAACAACAAGGAAGGCTTAGTCAACATGGACTCACACACACCTTACTAGGTAGGACACGGGGAATAAGTACTCCTCACCAAGGTATGGAAGATTTCTCTGCACACCCTTCCTAAAACTGTTTCGCACCTCAATTGTTGAAATGCAATTGAAATAATCACAGGAAGTTGTTAAGACCATGCATCCAATTTTGACAAACTGGTTGCTCAATACTTTGTCAATTTGTCCCTTAACGTTACATATTGTTGCTGATGTTATGTTGGGGCTTTTAATTGACTAGGATTCTACTCTGTTGGCTCTGCCGTCGGACTGGGGAGGATCTCCCCAAGAAGCCGCTGAACTTGTCCGGACAATGAGATGCTGGACTCTATGCTTGCTGTATGCTTGCAATGAAGGAATCTCAACTAAACCTGAACTGTGGTTGCGCAACGGGGGTGGGGGGGTGGGGAGGCGGGGAGGAGCCCACCGTGGGGGGAGGATTGGGAGAGGGGTGGGGGGAATCCCAGTGCCTATATAGAACTGTGTCACATAATACAATGTAATTAAAAATATATATAATAAAAAAAGTAAATAAATAAATCTTTTAAAAAAAAACTAAATGCAACACACATATATACATGAGTAGGCAATGTTTAAGACAGAAAGCTGTGTCCCATGTGACATATCCTTTCATGGGTATATTGTAAGCTACATTGTAAATAATGTAATAAAGTAAAGTTTTTAATTGTTAAAAAAATCTGCATAAATTACACATATCCTTAAACAATGGAGACTTGGAATGTGAGACATCCATGGGCAATAAAATACCCCATGAAGAGGCAGCTACTGTGGCTCAGCCAGTTAAATCACTGCTTGGGATACTGTATCTCAAACAGGAGTGCTGGTACAAATCCTAGTCACTCCCCACTTCCAATCCAGTTTCCTGCTAACATGTCTAGGTGGCAGGAAGTACCTGGATGGGGAGACTTGGATGGAATTTCTGGTTCTTGGCTTTGGCATGGACCAGCTCTGGCTGTGTGAAGATTCCTTTGTCTCTCTGTTTTTGTTTGTAGTCTGCTTTTCAAATAAATCATTGTAAACAATAAAAAAATGAAACAAAAGCCCTTCTAGGAGGTAACAAAATGCTTTGAGTATTTTTTAGTTAAAAAGTCAAATATTTTGGTTTCAAAATCTCTACTTATTTATTTTATTTGAAAGGAAGAGGAACAGAAATAATCCATGTACTGATTCACTCCCCAAATGCCTGGAATGGGTGGTATTTAGGCCAAGTAAAAGTTGGGAGCCAGGAAATAAATCTGGGTCTCTCCAGTGGGTAACAGGGGACACTACTAGTATGAGTAGCCATTTCCTGTCTTCCTGGCAGCACATTAGCAGGAAGCTGGAAGCAAGAGGAGTCAGGACTCAAACCAGGTATTGCAAGGGAAGTGAGCAAGGTCTTAACTGGCATCTTAAATTCTATGTCAAAAGTCAGCTTCAAATCTTTTTTTTTAAGGTATGTTATATAATTGAATTTTAAAAAGGATAGCTCAAAAATTATCTGCAATCAGGTACAACCTAACTCCAGTAAAGCTGGCCTACATTCAGAACTCAACTAACAACACCTGCTGGTGTGGATGTGACGAGAAAAGTACCGTCCTTCACTGCTGGTGGGAGTGTAAGTTAGCACAACCACGATGGAAATCAGTATGGAAAGTGCTTAGAGAATTGCAAATAAGCCTGCTATATGACCCAGCTAAACTGCTCCTAGAAATATACCCAAAAGAAATTGAAACTGCATATGAGAAAGGGATCTGTAATCCTATATTTACAACAACACAATCTACAATAGCAAAGTCATAGAAACAATCTAGATACCAATCCAAAGAGTAGTAGTTAAAGAAACTGTGGTACATCTACTCCATGAATTATTCAGCCTAATAAGAATGCAATTACAACATTTGCAACTAGATGGTCCCAATTAGAGACCATTATGCTCAGTGAAATAAGTCAATCACAAAAAGACAAATACCACATATTCTAATATAAGAAAACCATAATATAAAATGAAATGTATAGTGATGGGGTGATGGAGACTACCATAGCCAGATGTGAGACACAATGCAACATGCAAACTTCCAAACAAAAATGGACTCCCAATGAAAGTGCTGGACATAGCTAGACAATGGGATGATGGACTGTCTGCCACTGTACCAGCAATGCTGGGGCACACTTAAATAGCAGGCTAATGGAATTGTAATTCCTTATGAAGGAATGTACTGTTGTGACAATATGGGAAAAATCAGTGGGGGGGGGTGGGGGTGGGCGAGGTTGGAGGCTGGGGGGAGGGGAATCCTAGACTATATAGAATTATACAATAAAATTCAAAATTTAAAATAAAAAATTAAGAAAATAAGAGGAAAAAACCAAAATAAACAAAAAAATTAAAAATAAAAAGACCAAAAACAACAGAAAACCAAAATTTAAAAAACAAAAAAAAAAAGGAATATGCTTCTTCCAAACCTGCCCTACAAAGGATACTTTTCTTAATAGAGAAGAGGAATAGCACCCATCTAAACCAAAGGCAAATGTGAAGAACATCCCAGTAAAATAACAGAAGACTAAATCAATGAACAACCCATTGCTAAAATGACAGGACCAAATTACCACTCTTTTATATTAACCTTGAATGTAAATGGCTTAAATCCACCAATCAGATGTCATAGATTAGTAGACTGGATTAAAAAAACAAAACCCATCTATTTGTTGCCTACAGAAGACATACCTCATCAACGAAGATAAGTGGAAACTCTCCTGTCTTTTTTTTATTTAGTTTTATCTCTTCAAAACACTTTGTTCCTCATTAAATTCACTGATTCATTAAAAAAGCAGAAATTATAAATCTTTATTCAGCATTTTTCTCATATACATTATCTTAAATAGCAAACAGTAAGAGCTGGCAACTCTGTTTCAACATAGTCACATGTAAATGACCACCACTGCAGGAAAATTACTCTAAATGACCATAGCTAAACTGTTACCTGGTAACTGAAGCAAATACTTATAGGGTTCTAGAAGAATTCTTTGAACTGTTTCTTGAGTCTTTTCCATTGTCTTATCTGTCAAGAAGAACATAAAGATGATTTCATAAACCAAATTTGCACATTGAATTGCAAAGAAATGAGTACTTCAAGGTATTTTTTTTTTAAAGATTTATTTTATTTTTTTATTGGAAAGGTGGATATACAGAGAGGAGAGACAGAGAGGAAGATGTTCCGTCCGATGATTCACTCCCCAAGTGAGCGCAATGGCCAATGCTATGCCGATCCGAAGCCAGAAGCCTCTTCTGGGTCTCCCACGCAGGTGCAGGGTCCCAAAGCCCTGAGCAGTCCTTGAGGGCTTTCCTGGGCCACAGGCAGGGAGCTAGCTGGATGGGAAGTGGGGCTGAACCAACAGCCATATGTGATCCCAGGCTTGCAAGGCAAGGACCTTAACCACTGCGTCACTGCGCTGGGCCCCCTCAAGGCATTTTTGAAAGGTAGATTTTGGGTTTGGCTTCCAAAGAAAATTAACATATGAAAGACATAATTTACAAAACCCAAATGATTTCTGTAACCCTTACAAGAAAGTAGACTAGCTGGCATGGATGGGCAGGGGACAAGCACTAGTCATTACCAAGTATGGGGTTTCTTTTTGCTTGTGGGGATCAAATGTTGTAAAATTAGATTGATGCACATCCCTGAAAACAAATGAATCATATACTTCACTTATTTCTATTGAAATATTTACTTATTTATTTTGAAAGTCAGAGTTATAGGCAGAGAGAGGGACAGAGAAAGGCATCTTCTGTCTGCCCCAGTGACCATGTCACGACAGCCAGTGCTGGGCCAGGCTAAAGCTAGGAGCCAGGACCTTCAACCAGGTCTCTCATAGCAGCAGCAGAGGCCCAAACACCTGGGCCTGTTAGTGTTCCTGGCTCTGCACTGGTCCAGCTCAAGCTGTTGTAGCCATGTGGGGACTAAATCAATGATTGGAAGATCTCTTTTCCTCACTCTAATTGTATCATTCAAATAATTTTTTAAAATAAATTGTTCTATAATTCATTACAAAAATTAGTCAAAATATCTTTCTATCAATATTTGGATGGTATGTTCTATATAAAGCTTAAAGATAATTCATTACTCTGGCATTTTTCTCACTTTATTTCAGAAAATCTGGCTTAAGATATGCATTAACTTAAGTGTAATTGATTATATTTATTATTATTATTATTTTTTTTTGGTTTTGACAATCTTTACATGGTTAATTAGGGCACAAATGTTCAAGGGCTACAGGAAAGTGGGTAAGACTATTATTTCCCCATTCTCTTTTTCCTATATCTAGGGTAAATGGGGAGATAAAGAGATAAGCCCCACCCAATCTCCCACTCATCCCAGGTCCCCGATGTGGGTATGCTCCGAGGGTCTTACTCAAGTGGTTTTGACAGTTCAACAGTTATGAATTGCTGCCAGTCTCATCATTCCAAGTAACTGTATTTATTAAAATATTTATCAAAAAGTTCATGGAGAGTAACAGTGAAAATATGAATTTTGGTGCAAGAATTTAAAATTCATGCATATACTGATGGACTTTTTGGAAGACCCTCATATTAAGCATCTTAATCTTTTTAAGGTTATTTTTATTGGAAAGTCAGATTTATAGAGAAGGAGAGACAGAATGATCTTATGCCTGCTCATTCATTCCGCAAATGGCTGCAATGGCTGGAGCTGAGCCAATCTAAAGCTGATCCAAAGCCAGCAGCCAGGAACTTCTGGATCTCCCATGCAGGTTCAGGTTCCCAAACATTTTGGGCTGTCCTAGATTGCTTTCCCAGGCCACAAGCATGGAGCTGGATGGGAAGTGGAGCAGGTGGGATACGAACCAGTGCCCATATGGGATACTGGCGCATGCAAGGCAAGGACTTAAGCCACTAGGCTATGGTGCTGGGCCAGCATCTTGTTTTCTTCACACATGCTTATTTGAAATGCAGAGCAACAGACACACAGGGTGAAGACAAGGAGAGAGAAAACTGTAAGAGGGCCAAGTGGGATTCAAAGCACCTCTTGTTAGGACGTCAGTCTTTGTGATGCAGGTTTAACTCATTGCATTACAATACCGGCTTCTCACATCTTTGGTCCAGCTTTTGAGGCTTAGTACTGTTGTCCCTTTTGCCTCTAGGGATTGTGAATTGCTTTCTAGGATCATGAGCCCTCTCCCAACAAACCTTTCTGGATTCAGCAGATACAACACAAAATTACACACAGCTCCTATCAGCTGCTTCTCATTCCAACAGCTGGTGCTGGGCTAGGCTGAGAATGGACACTTAGAACTCCATTTGAGTCTCCTACATTTGCGTGTTCCTCTGCAGCCTGCTGCCTCCTATGGTACACATTAGAAGGAAGCTGCAAGTCAGGAACACACCTGTGACCCGACTCAAGCACTCATATAAGGGATGCAGGGTACAGGGGTATCAGAGCCATCTTTACTGTTTCTTTTGCTGATGAGGAAACTGGATCAGATGTGCAGCAGCAGGGACACAAACCTGTGCTGATAAAGGATGCCAGCTTTGAAGGCAGCAGCTTAACCCACATCCCATACACCAGCCTCATGACTTTTTAAGTTAAGTCAAATATGTTTTAGAGGCTGTGAAAAAATTCATTTTTCTCCTAACCTAGTTGAGTAGAAAAGCATACTGACTTAAACACAGGATGTACATGTAAGAGATGCTTTAAAAAAGCCTTTTTAGCTGTTCAATAAAACTCCGTAAGCTCAATCTTTATTCTTCCTGTTTTGAATCTTCTTTTCTTTTTTCTAACCCTGAGGACGAAGTAACCTGGGCCTGGGCACTGTTTTGAGTTCCACAACTCCCTAAGAATGCACTTGGAAAAGCAACTGAAGACAGTCCAAGGACCCTGCACTCATATGGGACAGCCAGAGGAAGCTCCTGGCTCCTGGTTTCGGTCTGGCCCAGTCTCAGTCACTGTAGCCATTTGAGGAGTGAACCAGTTGGAAGACCTCTCTGTCTCTCCTTCTCTCTGCAACTCTTTCAAATAAATCAATCTTCAATAAATAAATAAAATCAATAAATTATTTCTGATAAATAAACCCTTTAGTTCTGGGTTACTAAACAGATGTATTGCACAAAAGTTAGTGCTAATCTTTTTTAGAATTGTTACAGGCTGACAGTGTTTCTCAAAATATTATGTACAGATCTTTTTTTAAAGATTTATTTAGTTTTATTACATAGTCAGATATACAGAGAGGAGGAGAGACAGAGAGGAAGATCTTCCATCTGATGAATCACTCTCCAAGTGAGCGCAATGGCCCGGCGCGTTCAAGGTGAGGACTTTAGCAACTAGGCCATGCCGCCAGGCCCTATGTACAGATTTAAAAAATGTACTCCTTCGTTTTCGCAGGAAAATTTGAGAATATTCATTCAACAAGTCAATGGTCCTTTCCCAGAAGATGTTTATACACAAACATTGTTAGTGGTGGGGAAACAGGAGCCTCAATTTTTCTAGGAATTGAAAACCAATCAGTCTCATTTTTCTTAAGAGTCTAGGAGCTCCTGGGCAGGTGTTTGGCCCAGAGGTGAAGTGTCAGCTGGGATATTTGCATCCCATATTAGCATGCTTCTGAGTTTGAGCTCTGATTCCACTTTGGAGTCCAGATCCCTTCTAATGTGCACACTGGACGGCAGTATGTGATGGCCCCAGCAGCTGGGTCCTTACCACCCATGCAGACTACATGCACTGAGTTCCTGCCTCCTGTCTTCCCATTCCCAGCTTTGCCCCTGATCTGGGTGTTGGGGTTATTTGGGGAAAGGACATATGAATGTACAGTTTCAGAGGCTCAGTCTGATGAAGTTAAGCAAGTGCCCTGACAGGCCCTAAAACGGTGTTTTTGCTGATCCATAGTCTTTTTTTTTGCTTTACATAAATGAATCCCACTAAGCTTCAGTGGAATTCTTTTTTGCTTCTGTTCTTTCTGCTTTTTCATGAAAATTCTTCGCTGATCACCATCTCCTAGGCTATTTCAGCAGTCTTACACTCCTTGTGGCTATGGCAAGTTTCCGGGATTCATCTTGGCTGCAGCATATGGATTACCTGGGCAGATTCAGGCTCCTCAGCTTTCAGTTGCACTGCCTGCTCCTATGCCTGCGAAGCAACAGGTGACCGTACCCATCCTGGGTGCCTGCCACCTATCTGGGAGAGCGGGACGGTGTTCTGGGGGCTTTGGCCTGGCCTGGCTCTGGCTGTCATGGGCATCTGGGTAGTGAGCCTGCAGAGGAGGGTCTCTGCTGTTTTTTCATCCTGCCTCCTCTTTCAAATTAACACCTACGTAGACAAGCCTTTACACACAAACCCCCTGTACTCACACCCTTTCTACCAGGTGCAGCACAACCGGTGCAGCCTTCCAATTCAAACACAGTCCCCTCTCTCTCCCGACTGAGGCCCTTGGGAAGAAGAGAGACCTCTGCTCTTACGACTCCAGCAAGAACACCAGAAAACCTGCTGAAACCGAGCAGCACTCACTTCACTTCCTCACCCTGCAACTCCTAACAGCCGACTTTCCAGCTCTGTCTGCAGCACGGTTCGCGCTCCCGACCCCTTCAGCTCTTCCCTGCCTAAGCCAAACTCCTGTCACCTTCTACACCAGCTGCCACTCGTCTGTGGTCTCATTGCTATTTCTCTGTCTCAGGTTCTCAAACAAGGGTCAATGCCAGCTAAAGTGCCGAGAGCACACGTGAGGGACTTGGATTCCAAGTGCCTGTCCAGTGTGTCAGAGGATGAATCACAATCCCAACTCGCATTCCGAAAATAAAAATTCCACGCAGTATTTTTTTTTTTTTTTAGGGTAGGGTCTAGTTTCAGAGTTGCTAAACAGACACACAAGCGAGGTGCAGAGGGAAGGAGAGGGTGGTGGATCTGAGGGAAGACACTCAGGCAGCTAGTCGGCTAGGCTGGTCCGGACGCCCTCTTCCGCCTTCCGGGGTCGCCTCTTCCTGCTACTCTCTCCCCCTTCTCCCGAGAGGGAATGGAGAACCCATACACAATCCGGTTCAGCATCCGGGTCCTCTCCCTCCTTTCTCTCTCCTCACCCCACCCCCGTCTCCCCCACTTCTGCCCATCCGGGTCCCCCCACCCCCAGCCACCAATGCTGCCGCTCTCGGTTCAACGGTGAGATCACGACTTACACGCCGCCGGTTCGGGGAGTAGCAACACCCAGCATCAACTTCCTACTCTGCCGTTGAGAGCGAGGCTCCTTCTGACGCCTACATGAATCCCTCCCCCTACTTCACCACCGAACTCTCCGCCCTCCTCAGCCGCCAGCGACGCCGCATTACTCGGTGCAAGAAAATACGCCATCCCGGTCTCACTGCGCAGGCGTCGTTTCCGCCTCCCCATGGCCCGGTCGCCCCGCCCCCGCTCCCTGCCCCTCCCGTCTGGCGCGGCGCGGGGCACTGTGGGGTGTGCAGTTCTCTCCGGCCAAGGTTTGCGGGACGGCCAGGGAGGCTGGACTACATTTCCCGGGAAGCTTTGAGGAGTAACTTTCTGTTTCCATAGAACTGGTGGGAAAATGGCGTCGTTGTTTGTATCCTCTGGGCCAATAGGAAGAGAGCACAGGCGGGCTTTAAAGAACTCTGACCAATCCAATGTCGTCTGAGGGGCCATCCGGGAACGAGGTAGGGGAGGGGAAAGAAAAACAGGGGAGGGGAGAAAGGAGGGAAGGAGGGGGAGGCACGCGGGGAGGGGGGAGGTAGAGCGATGTTTGCCCGTCAGTCGAGTCCGGAGTGAGGAGCTCGGGCGCCGAAGCTGAGGGAGACTCTTCAGCTTAAGCTTGCCGCCGCCACGGCCGCCGCCTGGACCTTTGCCTCGAGGGAGCCGCAGAGGGCCCATCGCCGTCCTCCTCTGGAGGGCAGCGCGATTGGGGGCCCGGACCTCCAGTCCGGGAGGGATTTTTCGTCGTCCCCCCTCCCCCCAGCGAGGAAGCCCGAGCGGCCGCCAAACAAAGGTACCAGTCGCCGCCGCGGGAGGAGGAGGAGCCGGAGCCTCAGCCTCAGCAGCCGCTGGACCCACCGCCCTTCTTCCCCATCTCTCCCCCGGGCCTGCTGGTGTTGGGGGGGCGGTGGAGGAGAAGGGACTCTGGACGTGCCTGGGTCAGATCTCGCCTCCGAGGAAGGTAGGGGCTTTCGCGGTCTCCTAAGGAGGGGTGAGGGGTTCTTGTGGGAGTCCGTGGGCCTGGGCGAGGAGCAGGGGAGCAGATCGCTGTGGTGGTCTCACCCGCGCCCTTGTTCGGGGCCTCGGCCTCCCGGGGGCCCCCGCAGTTGCCGAGTCCGAACAGCCCCTGCCCGGCTGGGCGGCCGCACACTCAGCGGTTTAGCGGCCCTCGCTGGGGGGCCCAGGCGAGGTGTGTGTGTGGAGGGGTCCTCTGTTTGCGAGGATCTCGCTCGCACTGGTCGGGACGCGGGCAGAAGCTCTGCGGCGGGCCGGTCCTGCGCTCGGCCCTCGGGCCCGTCTGGCCGGTGTGGCCCCTGGGGTGGGCCCCCGGCCGGGCTCCGGCCCCGACGTGGGGCTGCCGCGGCCGGTGTGGGGGGCGGGGAGCAGAGCCGCTCTGCTGGGCGACGAGGCCCTGGGGAAGGCCAGCCCCATGCCGGACCCCGGCCGGGCTTGTTGTGAGTTTCTTCACTGACAGAAATGGCGTCATTGTCGGAGACGGGAAACTCCGTCGGGTCCCGACAATGGGGACGGGAAGCTATCGAGCTATGTAGGTGGCTGGGTTTGCGGGGACGGCGAGGCCAGAGGGAGCCCCATATCGGATTGTGGTGATCTGGGGGTGGAGGGCTGGTGCCCTCCCCGATCTGGGCTTCGGGACATCGCTGGCTGCCTTCTTTCCCTCCTCCTCCGCTAGTGCAGAGGGGTGCCGGTGGTGGTAACCGGGTGTCTTTTGTTTCCCCTCCAGGTGCAGGTGAATCTGGTGTTTTCGAGGGGAACGCGGTCCCAGAGTCATCATGAAGGTATGTCTGCCTGCAGAAAACGAACGCCTGCCTGGGTTTTAGGATTCAAGGAGGAAAGGGGCTGGAGCCGCGGCGCTGTGGGCAGAGGAAGGTGTGTTTGGTGGCCTTGGCGCTGAGCCCTGTCCCCCGAGGAGAGGGGGATGAGCTGGGGGCAGGTGCACGGGCTAGGCTGTGCAGTTGGGAGTGAGTTAGAGGGTGTTTCCTGGAGGCTGATGGCTCCGTAGAGAACGGAAGCTTTTTACAGGGAACGGTCGGAGGAACCGCACGCGTGTACAAGTGTTTTCAAAGGGAAAACAAAAAGCAGGTCAAGTCATCTGACTCTAGAAACGAAACTGGATGGTGGTTCTATCGGTTACCCTGCTGAAAGAAAATCTTGTTTAGTGTGCGAACGGGACTGTGGATATTTTTTTTTTTCCTAGTAGAAAACCTGTTTGATAGCCACAAAAAAAAAAAAAAATCCTCCTCATCTGAAGATTTTAAGAGGGAATTTTGGTGATCTTTCCGCAGTCCAGAGCTGACCGTTGTTCTTTGTGTTTGTAGGGATTTGGGCTTGTGTGGCTCCCTTCCCCCCTCCCCCCTCATTATTGATCTCTTTGGTCTGCAATTGTCAGTCGCTCTGTTGCATTGTAATGTTCCGGGAAAACGGATGGCCGGGTTCCTCTTCAATGTAAACATGTTGACTAAATGGAGGATCTGAAAAAAATGCAGTTTGTCTAGCTGGTGGGAGAAAATATAGCAGTAGAAGTCCAGGTGTTTTTTTTTTTTTTTTTCACTTTTGAGGATATCTACATGACTATATAAAAAGCACAAGATATCTAAAAGGTTGATTCAACTGGTGGGAGTTAGGTGCTGGCAGGGATTTTGTCATCCGTTGCAAATGCAGAGGCGCTGTGCTGGGATAGCGGGTTAACAAGCGCAGGAGCACAGCAGACAGCAGGTTAGGGTTTAAGTGTCACTTAGTTTTGACAGTTCCTTTGAACTGGTTCTTCAAAAATATATCTTTTAGAATCAAGACTGCCTTTTCAGTACTTCATCTGAGTTCCAATTTGTAATGAAATTACAAATGTCATTATTTATTTATTTATTTATGAACATGTGAACAAACATTATTGTAGTGTTGTTTGTGAAAGAAAGTAAAAGCTGTGGCTTTTGAAATCCTCACCATTGGAAGTACCTTAGTCTGGTTCTTTGTTGAGTGTGGACACCATGAGCTGCCTGAGAGCTTGTACGGGCTGAGTTGCTGTCTTGCTTCCTTGAAGACATAATCAGTGATGTCTGAGAAACAGATCGCTTTGGTTAGAACTGCTGTGTGGAACAAGAAAAAAGTGGATTTATTAGCAAAACCATGTATTTCCCTGGATGTTGGCTGAAAACTACTTAAGGGCTGAGTTGAATAACATACTAAGAAGTGTTAGATGCTGAATAAATTCAAGGTTTAGTTTGGAACAAATGTTGTAATCTGTCACAGTTCCCAGCGTAGTGCTTGACACATCTTTGGTACTCTGTAAATGTTTAGTTGAAAGAGATTTAAGTTGAAGGTCTTTTAGATATTCCTTTCTTCCTTTAGTTTTCCTTAAAGAATACAAACAAAAAAGCAAAAACTTGTCTGTGAAAAATGAAAGTATATTGGGAACTTTAGTTTTAAAAATGGTACTAGGCAAATGCAAATTTTTTGGTATTATTTTTGACCTGCTAGTTTTAAGTGTTCACTATTTCCATTCTTACTGCTTTTTATAAAAATGTACTGTTAATGTTAAAAGATTTTAAAAGGAAAGAGTTATTTTTAACTTTTTATGAAAAGAACTTTCTGTTGTTGTAACAGGTACTCTTATGGAATTTACTAGTAATGATTGGTGCTAAAAACTTACTTCTTATACCCTTTACTCTACCAAAAGATGACAAGCTGTATATGATTCATATTTTGCCTTAGCAAAAATTGCAGCTCCAACATATTTGACGTTGATTGTATTGAGCCTAAACATTTTTTCATATTCCCAAATTCAATACAACAATGACAATTGAGCTATAAAAGGATTTATATTATTTATTGCATCTTACCAAATATATTTGAACTTTCAAGCAAATTTTGAAATTTGAATTGTCTGTTCTATTAGTGACAATTTTTTTTTGTTAAGTTACACAGTATGGTGGTAATTGAAGGAGAATTTATTAATAGCTTCTGATCATTTCTTCAAAATCCCAAAATAAAGAAAAATATCCTTGCATATGAGACAACTCCAAAAAGCTAACAGAATTTGTGTATTTTGAAAAAAAAAAAAATCTATGCCTGGATTTTAAAAATGTTTGTACCCAGATTCATTTTCCCTGAACTTTTTGGAGTGCTCCTCTTATGCCATTCATAATATTATGTTTGAGCAGAACTTTTCATGTAGTATTACCTTTAGAAGACATTTATGTAAAAACAGCTCTTTTACTGGCTAGTGCACTTTTATGTGGCTGTATTTTTTGCACAATATATTTTTGACAACCATGTTTGTAACACAAAAGATTTGCTGTATGGTGTGTTGAGTTATGTTGAGTTTATTTGTTGTGCTCTTTCAACATCAATAGTAATACATAACTAGGAATTGATAGACTATTAATCTATTATTACATAGATTTTTAGAGATTTTTTAAATTTCTATTTGAAAAGCAGATGTTTTAGATAGAGGAGAACTAGAGAGAAAAGGTCTTCCACAATTGGCCACAACAGCCAGAGCTAAACTGATCCGAAGCTGGGAGCCAGGAGCTTCTTCTAGATCTTTCATGTAATGATTTGGGCCATCCTTCGTTGCTTTTCCAGGCTGTAAGCATACAACTGGATTTTAAGTGGAACAGCTGGGACAGGAACCGGCGCCCACATGGATGCTGGTGCCACAGGACAGAGGATTAGTCTTTTGCCTGACTGCACTGGTCCCAGAGTTTATAAAGACTTAATTTTAATTATGTCACATTTATTTCCTACTTTTCTCCTAACACTTTTTCTGGGTTCATATTATGCTTGTTATTAATGTCATTACATTGCAGTAAACTTTCAAATGAAATTAGGCCAGACGAGCACAATATTGAAGGGGAGGAGTGATTCAACTGGTTACTCTTAGAATATGGGTAGGTATGCTTTTTCACATGTACATTTCTTTCTTCAGTAATCACTGACCATGTAAACCATATACAAATATATCACACAAAAATGGACTGATTACAAATGCCCCTATTAAAGCCCTGTGCATTAAAAATTTCACTTTTTTGTAGCCCTATTAACTTCCTTCTCTCTCCTTTTCTTCTTCTTTTCATAAATTATTCATTTCTTTTATTTTTTAAGATTTACTTATTTTACTTGAGAGTGAGTTACAGAGAGGGAAGGAGACGAGAGAGGATCTTC